AGCGGCAAGTAACACGTTCTTCACGGGGCACGTGGCCGAGCTCGTTGCCCGCGCGGCCGTCTCAGAGAAACCTATGCGCGTGGAGGATTTCGTCACTGCCATGAAAGCTCGGTTGCACAAGCCGCCAGAATCGCAGCCGGCAGGTGCCGCCAGCAGTGCAACAGGATTGTTTGAGTCGTAAACTGTTACGATAGAGCCGAGTTCCATTCTCTGATAGCTAATAAAATTAACAAGTATTGGATTCTTTTGTGACAAACCCTCGTGCTCTTCATTAGCTGGATACCAGTGCACATGCAGATGTTGAGCCGGAGATGTGCGTAAGTCTCAGTTCTTGCTCTTGGACTGCAGTGCAGCATTTCAGAGTTCTTGCGAGCGAATCTTTGGCAGTACCACATCGCCAGAAAAATAGCTGTGGCACTGAAACCTGCTGTCTGCATGCAGCGCAACTTCAAGCATTCCGATGACTGTTCCGTTAAGCTCAAGGTAGATTTATGATTTTGTTATTCTTTCGAACATGGCTGCCCCTGTGCCGGCAGTGGGGTTTGCAAACCTTGGAGCATCCTGCTTCATCAACTCCTCGATCCAAGCAATCTTCGCTTCGAGTACTTTGCGTCAGCACTTGAAGCCAAACTCGGACTCCGAACAAGCCATACATACGATCTTGCAGGGCATTCACCAGCCCTCCGAGCGGCGAGTTCCTAATGACATCCTCCGCCTCTACTACAACAATCGACAGGAAGACGCAGCGGAGTTTCTCAATTATTTGCTGCTCGAGTGTCCAAGCTTGCACCACGTGCTTCAAGGAATCGAAGTGCCGCGATTGAGTTGTCAGCATTGCAGTCACAGTCGCAACCTACCGCAGGAGAAGTTCCTTGTCCTCCAGCTGCCGATTGCATACGAACAGCCACTGTTCTCGGTGCAGTTCGCCATGGACCGCTACCTTTCGGAAAAGCACCTTAAGAACGACGTCGAGGAGTGGACGTGCTGGCAAGCAGATTGCTTGAATGCTGGTGTCGCAGAGGATCCTTGCTTCTGGAGCACCAGCATTCTTGAATGGCCAAATGTGCTAATGATGACGTTGAAGCGATGGGACAATGATGGAGTCCTAACACACCCCGTCGTGTGCGAGCCCAGTTTAAAGGCAGGAACCAAGACGTACAAATTACAAGCGATTGTCTCGCACATTGGTGCCACTGCCGATTCAGGACATTATCTTGCTTACCGGCGACATGGTGATAGAATCCTTCGATGCAATGATCATGTGATCACAATGGTACCAACATTCGATTTACCTTCTGACGAAAAGGCGTACATCCTTCTCTATGAACAGGACGTTGTGAGCTTCGACGACAACATGTCCGCATCCAAGGTGATCGACCTCGATGTCAGCAGCGATTCTGATGTGGTCATCGAGTCTGACCGCTGCCACCCAGGTACTAAGCGGCCCGGCTCCGAGCAAGACCAACCACAGAGCAAGCGTTCGACCTCACAAGGTTTGACAGACATCGAGCTCGAAGCACTTTTGGAACATGAGATTGATTTGTTTCTGCAGGAGGACAAAACGAATGACCAGCCCGAGAACAAGGTCTCCGAAGAGCAGTCCGACAGTGCTAAAGCACCGCCGCCGATGCCTACAACAAACCCGAGCATGCCCTCAGAGCCAGCAAACAATCAACGCCGGCCCATGGCACGTTTCACTGCAAATGAAAGAACAACGATCTTGGACATCGTGACGACATGCAGCTCGCTCAAGGAAGCCATGCCTCTGTTGCGTGCTGCTGTTCCCGACTTCAACACTGAGCAGCAGAACACTCCAAAGTTCATCTCGATGCACACTCTACGTAATTGGGTTCGGAAGCCGGATTCTCTCAGAAAAGCTATTGCCCTCTTGAATCCGCCAGTGAATCCGCCCAAAACTCGAGCAGCGCCAGCGTTGTCAGCACGAGCAGCTTTGTCTCCCGAGCTTCAAGAAGGACTCGCAGAGGCATTGGAAAATTATGAAACTCCGCAGCAGATCATAGACATGCTACATCGAACAGTACCAGGATTTAGCGTCAGCGATCAAACAGCTGAGAATTACGTTCCGAAGACTTCTGTGATCGAATGGTGCCGACGTTCGACGGTTCGGACATGGTTCGCCACCAACACCGATCATGCCAATGACACATGGGAGAAAGAGTTCGAGAACGTCTTTGGCATCGTTCATGTGAAGCCACAACTTCGAGTTGCACCAGTTCTGGACCCAAGCAATCAGATAGACCAATGGTTAGTACATGGATCGTGGACGTTCTGCCCCAAGTGCGGGCGACGCCGACCGGCTACCGCCACAAACACACTGATATCCGGGCGTGCTGCTTTGAAATGCAAACTTGGCTGTGATCCGGATGCTACAGACCTCTTGAAGCCAGCAGAGCAAGAAGTTATGTCTCGCAAATTGAATGCGTATGTAACACCGACATCTCAGTACTGGGAGCCAATGCTTCTGCACATGGGATTGACTGGGCTGCCGCTTGCAAGTCTGTCCACGGAAGATGTGAACAGTCTTTCAGTGTTAGACCTCAAGATCGACTACAAGACTCGACGTGGAGGCAATGCTAGCACAACTAGCAAACAGAAGACCGCTGTTATTCGTGGACGTTGGAAAGCACTCCCGCTCACAGAGCTGAAGCGATCCGATGCTGCCAACCATGCCTTCTCTTGGCTTGTTGCAAACAACGAGACCTACGCCTTCTGGGTACAACATCACAGACAGCTAGCGGCGGCCAACATCACTTCCGAGCATTGGCGCGAAATCCCTACCGCCCAACTTTTGTTGGGCATGCCCGGCATTGAGATCGCCGCAAGACCGCTTCTCTACCCTCTGGCTAGCTTCGGCGACAGTGACATTTTGACTCGGCTCACTTCCTTGGGAAGAATACCTCCAACTGCCTCACCTTCCACAAGAACCAGCTTTATGCGGAAAATCACGAGCCGATGCCTAGATTACAGTAAAGATTTTCCTTTGCATGCTTTGCTGTATGACATGTGCATGGGGCGGACGATCACATCCTTGATCAGTGTGGCCAATCAGAAGCAGATCGCGCCAGAGCATGCCTCTATTCATCAGGATATGTTTGAAGGCTACTGGTTTCTCCAGCTCAGGAAAATGGAGGACGTTTGTCGAGTTGAATATGAACGTACTCAAGACGTCAGCAAGTCGCTACCGAACGTGTTCTTTACTGTCGCGCCAGCCGAATGGCGGTACTTGTTGCCGCATGGTCTGACATTCGATGCATCTCTATCCGAGCAGCAGGACCTGATTACGCTGCACCTGCATCATACGCTGCAGACCTTGCTCGAATCGCAGCTCCTCAAAAACCCAAGCAAACTCAAGTCCCTCGGCATCGCTAATGTCAAGCATTGGAGCTATCGTTTTGAGTTCCAGGCACGAGGGACATTGCACGTGCATGCAGTTCTTTGGGCTGATCTCCTGCCTGGCTGGTCAGCGGCCGACCTCACTGCACGCAGCAACGAAACCACCAGCCCATTCTTGGAGATGCTCGAGTCCATGTTCAAGTGCCGAGCTGACGTACAATGCGGTGAAGGAACACACTGCCTTATGCGCTACGTCGCGGGCTATCTTGCTAAAGCTTCAGATGCTCTGCAGTTCGTGAGTAAGCAAGCTGCCAGCGAGGATAGCCGCTGGAAGCAAGCATACCGTCTTTTGTGCAGGAAGTCACCGACCGAGCAGGAGATCATAATGGAATTCGCTGGGTTGTCCATGGTCAAGCATTCCTTCAGTGGTTTCGACTTGTACGCGCCCATACCTGGCAGTTCAGCAACGAACAATTCACGGCAGCAGTACCTCGCCTACCAGCGATGCTTGAAAGATGATATCAAAGATGCCCGCAGTCTCACCTTCATTCAATGGCTACGACAATATCAAGTCGTCGGCTATGGCAAGGAAATGAACATACAGCGCCGAAATGTCGCCGGCCCGGCGGCAAACAAAACCTGCGGCGTGGCAATATCATTTCCTTTTGAACTTCTCGACATTTACATAGGAGCCTGGGCTGCTTCGTGTTTGCCAGGAATGACAGAGGAAAGACTTCTGCCGACGACCCCTCCGAACCTCCACATCCCCGGCTATGAACACGAGCTCGCCCGTCGTCGCTCTTTTGCAGCGCCGAAAATGTGCGAGCATCTTAAGGCTGCGCTATGCCTGGACATGTTCCAGCTTGATGGCGCTGACCTCGACACGTACAATCCCGATCTCGAGAAGTTCTTCGCCAGCATCGAACCCGAGCTCATCTTACGAGGAATCAATGCCGACCGCATTTCCACTTTCAAGGCTAAGATCCAAGCGTCCAACCTGCTGTTGTTGAAGATTCGTGATGGCCTCGAGGACTCCGGATTCTGGACAGCACACAAGTTGCCTGGCTTGCCACAACGACACTGGTCCGTAGAACAACAAGCTGTTCTCGATTGGTTGAAAAAAGGACTAGCGATCGACGATGCTGCCAACACCCGCAACCGAATCCTTCAGGTGTCAGGATCTCCTGGCACAGGAAAAACCGAGGTAGTTATCGCAGCCGCCAAGCTCGCGCTCGACGATGACTGTCGCGTTCTCATTGCAGGGCCTATTGGCTTATTGGTGGCAATGTACAAACTGAAACTACCTGCAAGTGATCGACTAACGATGGAAACAATTCACTCAGCATTCAAGATCACTCGGCTCGCTGACTCAGCCTACATACCTCCAGGGCGACTTCGCCGATATGATGTTATCATCTTCGATGAAGTCTCGCAGATTGATGGCCAAGTATGGGAGGATCTTAAGGTAGCTCTTGGTGAACTTCAACCTGGTCCCTTGATTATGTTTGTAGGCGACTTCCAACAGTTGCAGCCTGTACACGGCCAGCCACAACTGCAGCTAGACTTGGACGCTCAGGTTGCTGCTGGGACTGTGGATCGCATTGATCTACAGAACCACGGCTTTTCCAGAACCATTGATCCGGAAATGCTGGAGTTCCTGCACATCATTCGAACTCAGCAGCCCTCCAGAGCGCAATTGGAATCTTTCTTCCTTGACAGACAGTGGCCCAACAAGCCTGAACAGGCAGCCGCTCGAGCTAAAGCCTGGGAGAATGCCAACGGCAAGAACTTCATGTTCCTTACAGTGACCAACAAAGCCGCAGATACACTCAATCGCGCTCGACTCAGCATGGACTTTCCGAGAGAAGCATCACTACTTGATCAAGGAGCTGGTATTCCAGGCGAAGCCAACAACGTCATCCTGGCGCAAGGCATGCGAGTCCGTCTGACGTACAATGTCAATAAAGACGATGGTTTCGTCAACGGGAATACTGGCACCGTGCGCCTGGTTCTGCGACGAGACGTCTTTGTGATGCAGTCTGCCCAGAACACATCGATCTTGGTGTACCCGATAACCCTCAAGGGACGCAAGCATTTGCCGGTAGTATACGGCTATGCTACCACAATGCGGAGGGCACAAGGAGCAACTTTGGAGGGCATTGGTCTCTGGTTTGACCGGCGCCGCCCAGACCGAGGGTATGCATACGTGGGAACTTCCCGCGCCAAGCAAAAGCTCTCCGTGTTCCATGTTGGCAGACTTCGGCAAACAGATTGGCTACCGGTTGGTCTACCTCGAGAAGACGAGCACACGCAGCTCTCGGGGCTCAGCGAATCCACTGATGCTGAAGATGAAGAATCTTCCGATCTTGAGTCCGACAGCACGGCCAGTTCCCCTGGATTCGACGTCTCCACCGATGAGTGAGTTGCTCTGAGATGAGTGTCACTACTTTTGAAACCGACCACAGAGTGCGTCCCGTCATCGCTCGGCATTGAAACAGGTTAGTGAAGCCTATCTATAGCAGCAAGAACTGCTACTCGCTTTCGCGATGCCGAGGCATTTCGAGATCCCCATCAATCATTGCTTCGCTCTTAGAGTTTGTGCGTTTTTGTTTGTTCGGTTATCTACTCAAAGAACCGCCCAGGTCCTTCGCATCTATATTCTGCAAGACGACATCTACATCCGGAATTGTTTCGTTCTCAGGACAATCCTCCGTGCCACATGCCCGACCCTAGAACTTAACTTAAAACAAGCAAGCACCGGTGTTGATATTATACGAAATTTGAGATTTAGTGACAACAGCAACTTCAATCTTGTATTTGTTTTACTTAGAACAAGCGAGCAACGGTATTGACACCATAGAAAACTTAGGGTTTAGCGACATCAGTAGCCTCAATCTTCTACTTGCTTTACTTAAAACGATCAAGCAACGGGGTTGGCACCATATGAGTTTTAAGGTTTAGCTACAGCCGCATATGTTTCCAGAGAGTTAAGTAAGCTTGCCCAAGACTACCAACTAACTATGAAGAAATAGCTTGCAACATATACAACGCAACTAGTTGGTTGGAGGAATCTATGTTAAGTCTAAGCACAACAATAATAGATCAAATCAGCTATGGAAGCAATATGAGCTGTTGTATTTCCCTAGTGGTGTGGAACGCGACATTAAGACGAGGCTAGGTTGTAGGTACAACTCTGTGAATGATGATGAAGACTTTATATGGCTTATGTTATGGGATTCTAAGGGTGGGTGGGTGTTATTTCTAAACCGTAAGTACAACTGTACTTTAAAACTGCTCGATCCGGAGCTGCTGAACCCTAAACCTTAAACCCTAAACCCTAAACCCTAAACCCTAAACCCTAAACCCTCAAGCAAATGATAAATAGAAGGTGTGTTTTGGACGGTTCGGATGGCAGGGTCATGACAATAGCAATAAGCATGATGTGAAAAATGTCTTTTCATTGCAAATTTGTTGTTCCGCGAGAGCCCGAAAGCAGGGGCAGGGCAGGGCTCGAGGCAGCAAAAAACAAAGCCACCTGCACAAAAAAAGCAAAAGCAAAAACCCTGTCAAAACCCGCTCGAAACCCGCCAAAACCCGCCCGAAACCCGTCCGAAACCCGCCAAAACCCGCCAAAACTCCGGACCCAAACCCTACACACCTTCTATAAACCCTAAACCCTAAACCCTAAACCCTAAACCATAAACCTTAAACCCTAAACCCTAAACCCTGAACCCTAAACCTTTAATCCTAAACCCTAAACCCCAAACCCTTAATCCAAAACCCTGAACACTAAACCCTTAACCCTAAACCGTAAACCCTAGTAGTGGCTTCTAGGGTTTAGGGCATGTTTGGTTGGCCTTTAGGGTTTAGGAAGAAAGTGAATATTTTCCTAATGTTTTGGGATTCTTTGGGCGGGTGGGTTTTTTACTATTACACTGCTGGGCTGTTAGTCTTACCTAGCTAATCGTAAACCCCTAAACCTCAACCCGAAAACCCTTAACCCTAAACACTAACCCCCCTAAAACCCTAAGAAACCTTAACCCGTACACCCTAACCTTAAAACCCTAAACCCTAAACCCTAAACCCAAACCCTAAACCTAAACCCTAAACCTTAAACCTTAAACCCTAAACCCTAAACCCTAAACCCTAAACCCTAAACCCTAAACCCTAAACCTAAACCTTTAAACCCTAAACCCTACCCACTAAACCCTAAACCTTTAATCCACACCCTAACCCCAAACCTAGCCCAAAACCCTGAAACACTAAAACCCTAACCCTAATAAACCCTGAACCCTAGTAGTGGCTTCTAGGGTTTAGGGCATGTTTGGTTGGCCTTTAGGGTTTAGAAAGAAAGTGTATATTTTCCTAATGTTTTGGTATTCTTTGGGCGGGTGGGTTTTTTACTACTACACTGCTGGGCTAGTGATTTCTTAGCCCAGCTAATCGTAAACCCTAAACCCTAAACCCTAAACCCTAAACCCTAAACCCTAAACCTTAAACCCTAAACCTTAAACCGTAAACCCTGAACCTTAAACCCTAAACCCTAAACCCTAAACCCTAAACCCTAAACCCTAAACCCTAAACCCTACCCGCTCGAAGCCCGCTCGAAACCCGGTCGAAACCCGCCCGAACCCCGCCAAAACCCGCCAAAACTCCGGACCCAAACCCTACACACCTTCTATAAACCCTAAACCCTAACCCCTAAACCCTAAACCCTAAACCCTAAACCTTAAACCCTAAACCGTAAACCCTAAACCCTAAACCCTACACCCTAAACCCTAAACCCTTAAAGCCTAAACCCCTAAACCCTAAACCCCTAAAGTAGTAGTATAGTAATGCAGCAGTAGTATAGTAGTAGTAGCAGTAGTAGTTGTAGTAGTAGTAGTAGTAGCAACAGTAGTAGTAGTAGTAGTAGTAGTAGTAGTAGTAGTAGTAGTAGTAGTAGTAGTTGTAGTAGTAGTAGTAGTAGTAGTAGTAGTATGAAAAATGCCATTTGCCAAAAAAAAAAAATCCTCCAGCTGCTCCCGGCCGCCAGAGGTTGATCCCATGCTCCTTGAAGCCGGTGCCAACACCAGCTTGGAGACGAATGATGGGATCAAGTTATTGCAGGGCCCTCCACGTGATCTTCACAAGCCTCAGGGCCCACCGGGTGGGAATTCAGCATCCACCCCCCTGCTCGAGGAAAACCTCGCTCCCTGAGGCACCAGTTTTGCACACCCTGGAGTTGCAGTTTCCGCTTTGCCGCCCTGGATTGCTATACAACCTTTGTGCTGGAAGTGCCTTGTTTCGGATGCTGGCAGCATGGTGCTTCATCGTAGTACAACCTTAGTACTGGAAGTCTCTGGTTTCGGATGCTGGCTGGATGACTACCAGTACTACTACTACTACTACTACTACTACTACTACTACTACTACTACTACTACTACTACTACTACTGCTACTACTACTACTACTACTACTACTACTACTACTGCTACGACGACTACTACTACTGCGACAACCACTACGACGACGACTACCGCGACAATTATTACTATTGCTATCACTGCCACTGCAATGGATGAGCTCCGATCTGAACATTATCATGATGCGCACATGGATGCTCTGCGGCAACGGAGATGCTCCGTATTTTGATCGCCCCGATACGCCTATTTCATCGCTCCGACATCCCAAATTTGTCGCCCCGGAATTTCTCTGTGAGCCGAGATTGGCACATTGAAATCTCGGGGCTTGGCGTCCCCAAAGCGCCTTCCAGCAAACCCCAGACAGCTGGAATTTCCGGTTTGCCGCAAGCTCGCCTTAGTCTAGCGGTTAAGCCACCGGCTCAGAAGCCCATGTGCGCGGGCTCAAATCCCGCCCCCGTCATTTTTGCTCTTTGCCGCCTCTTCCCAGACCTGGATTTAGAGCTGCTTGTCCTTTTCCGGAGGAGGCGGCAAAAAGCAAAAATGACAGGGGCGGGCTTCGAGCCCGCGCACGTGGGCTTCTGAGCCGGTGGCTTAACCGCTAGACTAAGGCGGGCTTGCGGCAAACCGGAAATTCCAGCTGTCTGGGATTTACTGGAAGGCGCTTTGGGGCCGCCAAGCCCCGAGATTTCAATGTGCCAATCTCGGCTCACAGAGAAATTTCGGGACGATAAAATTGGGATGTCGGGGCGATGAAATAGGCGTGTCGGGGCGATCAAGATACGGAGCTTCTCCGTTGCCGCACAGCATCCATTTGCGCACCATGATAATGTTCAGATCAGAGCTCATCCATTACAGTGGCAGTGATAGCACTGGTAATAATTGTGGTGGTAGTCGTCGTCGCAGTGGTTGTCGCAGTAGTAGTAGTCGTAGTAGCTGTAGTAGTACTAGTAGTAGTAGTAGTAGTAGTAGTAGTAGTAGTAGTAGTAGTAGTCGTCGTCGTCCCAGTGGTTGTTACAGTAGTAGTAGTCGTAGTAGCAGCAGAAGTAGTAGTAGTAGTAGTAGCAGGAGTAGTAGTAGTAGTAGTAGTAGTAGTAGTAGTAGTAGTAGTAGTAGTAGTAATAGTAGTACTAGTAGCAGTAGAAGTAGTCGTCGTCCTAGTAGTTGTCGCAGTAGTAGTAGTAGTTGTAGTAGTAGTGGTGGTAGTAGTAGTAGTCGTCGTTGTCATCGTCGTCGTAGTACTTGTTGCAGTAGTAGTAGTCGTAGTAGTAGTGGTAATAGTAGTAGTAGTGGTAGTACTGGTAGTAGTAGTAGTAGTAGTAATAGTAGTAGTAGTAGTAGTAGTAGTAGTAATGGTTGTAGAGGTAGTGACAACAAACCCTAAATCCCCAAACCTTAAGCCGGGATATTCTTGGTCTTGTGTATTTAGCGGCGCCTGTGTCTTTTGGAAAAGAACTGGTTGGGTGCGGGGTTAGGGGCTTAGGGGCCTACTTCTTCCCTGAACTCCCTGAAACCCTCATGCTCACAAGGTGTTCTTGTCCTCCTCGGTGTCCCGGTGTTGTCACTGGCTTCTGTGCTTGGCGGTCCTCTGCCCGAAGCTTGCGCCTCATGCGCTCTGCAGCCGCCAGTCAGCATCTTCCGCTGCTTCTTGGGCTGTGACTCTTTCTCTGCTGTCACCCTGGCTTCCGCAGCAGCCTGCCAGATGGAAAAAATTGGTGGCGAGAGAGTTCCGTTCGCCAATGCCGGACAAGTACAAAATGAATCTGCTATGTTGCACCAGCCGCCTCTTTTCGCAAAAGTGCACTGTGTGTTGTTTGGCACTTGATGCATCCGTGTGTTGCTTGCTTGGAAGCGGGTAAAAGGCCTGCTAGTCATCGAAAGGCAGTCTAACACAGAAGCATACATTACAAGATAACACTAATACTTACACTAACATCAGCACTAGACTGGACATTGGCACTGGCAGCCGGTAACAACCAGCATCAACAAGTAGCAACTAGTTTCTGTCAGTTTCAACTC